TAAGATGACTACACTGTTCATGACTGAAAGAATATTTTTCACCATGTCACAATTAGAAACTAGGTCTACAGTACCTACCAGTCCAAGGCATAGCAGTAGTTCATATTCAGTGATAGCAGCCTAAGTTTCTTGCTCAGCTGAACGGAATAGTAGGCGCCATGTTTGACAGAGGTTTTGACACTGCTAGGAAGCCAACTGGCTGTCCATGTCTCTGCCAGAACGTCATACAGCCAAGCCATGGAATCGTTTCCAGTGACGTAGTCTGGAAGGAAACTGTAACGCGGGTGATGAGGAAACTTGGCATTACTGAATACACAAAAAGCAGGCGCCCGTATGTGGGATTGCATTTGACTAAATTTCTGGATAAAAATTACCCGCGAAGCTAAGAAGAAAGACCGATTACTCGCGTTTTCTTATTAATATTTTTCCCTTTATTTCTTTTACTAGTTCATTCACGTTGTCCTTGGGTGTTCGCGCAAACGATTGCATCATATAAACCAGTAGTAATCTTATAGGCATGCAGAAATGTGCCGAATGTCTTTTATTACACGAATATTTTATAATTATATTATTTTATATTTAATAATATAACAAATATATATTTTAATATCTTTAAATTCAAAAACATGAACAAAACTCCCAAATTCAGGGCCACAGTCGATAGACGGGTAGCTTTATCGCCTATGACTATGAATTCAACGACTTCAACATTTTCAACCACATCACATCCATCCAAACCTGTTCATTGGGTTTCCTTCGTGATTTCCAAGTGCAGGCAAGAAGGGTTTTCCAGGGAAGTACTGCAGCATCAGCTCAGTTACATTACGGATGATAGCTAACTGACTCTCATGTGTCTGCATCCAGACATCATGCGGTGGTTGGTCCCCTGTCCACATAATGTAGTCAAACTGAAATTGAAATGTGAGAAAGCCCGGTCGGCACTGTTTAACTGGAACCGATCTATAGTCCTACGGGTCGTTGGTCCTACGGTTATTAGTGAGAGGGATAGAGAGAATGGCAAAAAAATTAATAAAATTTTGAATTTTTAAATTTAGATTTTTGTAAATTTAAATTTTTAATTGTATTTGACTCTGATGGGCGGTAAAGTTGAGTATGCGCAGTATACGTGGCTTTTCACTATGAGTGAAGTATGCACCAGACAGGAGTGGAGGAGAAGGAGGAAGAAAATAATTCTGAAACTATTTCAGTGTCATTCACCCTCGAGACCTTATCACAAAATTTCATTCACCCACGACAAAATTTCCTTATATTTTTGGTCTAGTTTCATTCACCTCAAAATAATGTCATGCACCCTTGGACTAAAGACCATACACCAGTTTAAGAAGTACAGTGGGACACTACACAGTTTAAAAATTTAATTTATAAAAAATTTTATCAAAAATTTAATTAACAAACAATTTAAGAAAAAAAATTACGTGTGCCTGCGTGCACCGTAGGACCAACGACCCGTAGGACCAGCGACCCGTAGGACCAACGACCCGTAGGACCAACGACCCGTAGGACCAGCAACCCGTAGGACCAGCAACCCGTAGGACCAACGACCCGTATGATCAACGGAAGAAACAGAAGAAATCAGGACTAAAGAACGGTAATGACAGAGATTAGCCTGTATGTGTATGTGTGCATGCGTGCGTGTGTGTTGTGTGTGCGCGCGTGTGTGTGAGCGCGCGCGTGTGTGTGTG